GTTTCCAGACTGTCTCAAACTCTTGACTTCAAGTGATCTCCTGCCTCAGCCTCCCAAAGTGCGGGATTCCGGCATGAGCCCCCTGCCAGGCTGTTTTCTTTGATTTTTTTTTTTTTTTTTTTTTTTTGAGAACGGAGTCCTCATCTGTTCGGAGTCAGTGTCACGATCTTGGCTCACTGGCAAGCACCTCCTGCCCTCAGCGTTCCACGGCTGGTGGCTCCTACAGCCCCTGTACACTGGGCCAGGCATTATGCGAGACAGACTTGAGGGACAATGTCTGTGCTCCGAGGCCCATGGGTGGGATGGTTTGATGGAGTCAGCTGTGGGGCTCCTGGCATCTCAGTGGTGCCGATAGCAGGAGGGGTGGGGCCCCCAAAGGCAACTCACCGTCTGCAGCACAGCAAACTTCACCTTCCCAAACTTGTCTTGCTCTACCCAGGGCTCCCGCACGATTTTGGCGCCCCGTTCCCGTGCTTTCTGCAGAGAAGATGGGATTGGGGAAGTGGTGAGGGCCGGAGACTTCCAGAACCCTCGCCTGCTGCTCCCGCCAGGAGGCCTCTGTGTGGTCCTGCAGGCCCCTCCAGTTTCTCCAGCCCCAGGTAGGAACCCCAGGCAGCTTCACTCATTACCCCCAATACTCATGCTCGTTTGGCAAGTAGGGAAACTGAGGCCCAGGCCCAGAGTTGGGGCTATGGGAGACAAACTAGGTAAGGATGGGTGTCTATCCTGCCTCTGCTAACTCCCCCTGTGATCATTCCCCCTCTCTAGTCCTCAGTTTCACCATCTGTAAAAGAATGGTTGGATGAGAATAAGAAGATGATTCATGCATTTATTTAGCAAAACTGTACTGCCTGACAGTGCTTATAGCATGCACCAGGCTCTGTTCCAGATTCTAACCTTGTTCATCCTCGCAGCAACGTTATGAAAAAGTAGTATTATCATCTCCATTCTCTAGGTGAGGACGTTGAAGCACAGAGACATTAAGTCACTTGCCTAAAGTCACACAGCGAAGATTCAGACCTGGACAGCCTGGCTCTGGAATGCACACTCTGAATCTCTAGGCTGCCTCTTGGGTACAGTGTTTGGTTTAGAGTTGTGCTCAAGAAATGGTAATTCTGAGGTCAGGCAAAATGGCTCACGCCTGTAATCCTAGCACTTTAGGAGGCCAAGGTGGGCAGATCACTTGAGGTCAGGAGTTCAATACCAGCCTGGCCAATATAGTGAAACTCCATCTCTACTAAAAATACAAAAATTAGCTGGGCGTGGAGGCGTGCGCCTGTAATCCCAGCTACTGGGGAGGCTGAGGCAGGAAAATCACTTGAATCCAGGAGGTGGAGGTTGCAGTGAGCCAAGATCGCACCACTGCTCTCTGGCCTGGGTGACACAGCAAGACTCCGATGCAAAAAAAGAAAAAGAAAAAGAAAAAGAAAAAGAAAAAGAAAAAAGAAAAAAAAAAGGAAATGACCAGCCTGACCAACATGGAGAAATCCTGTCTCTACTAAAAATACATAATTAGCTGGGCATGGTGGCACATGCCTGTAATCCTAGCTACTCAGGAGGCTGAGGCAGGAGAATTGCTTGAATCTGGGAGGCGGAGGTTGCGGTGAACCAAGATCATGCCATTGCACTCCAGCCTGGGCAACAAGAGCAAAATCCCGTCTCATTAAAAAAAAAAAAAAAAAAAAAAGGAAATGGTGATTCTGATCGAATTTCCTCCTTTGACAACCCAGCTGTGGTTAGCCCCATCTGGCAGCTGTGGAAACTGAGGCTCAGAGACAGTGAGGACACACAGGAGAGGACAGGGCACCCCCCGAGCCCAGGTGTGTGTCACACCAGCATCTGGGCTTGTCACTGTGATGCAGCAGTGTCCTTCCAGCCCTGACCAATGGGGTCCCCATGGCAGACGGAGGTCTTCGTCTCCCAGTGTGTCCAGGTGCATTCTCACCTGCACGATGTAGTCACAATCTTCCACCTCAAACGCGATGTCCTTCACGCCATCGCCGTGTTTCACCAGGTGATCCCCCATCTCTATGGCCGGCAGGGAGGGGATGGCACTGGAGTCTAGGTCCCCTCACCTGGCTTTCAGTCTCCATCCAGGCCCTGAACCCAGAGCCCACCCATGGAGCCATGCATCTACCCTCCCCAAACCCGGACCCCACCCACAGAGCCACAAGTCCACCCTCCCCGGGCACCTCACCTTTGTTCCAGGGGTTGAGTGCTGAGGAGAGGACAAACACAATCTAAAACACAAGGAGAAGGGGGTGTGGCTAGTGGTTAGGGGGGGCATGGGGAGGTGCACCCATCAGCCCCTCCCTGCTGACCCAAGACACCCCTGATGGAGCAAAAGGACTCCTGGACCTGGGTTCTAGCTCCTTCTCTGCCTTAGTTTCCCACACTGGTCCTGAGGGATGGGGCCTGCAGCCATGCCAGAGCCCCTCTGGATCCTCAGAGGAGCTGCCAGGTCAGGTCTCTCTTGGGGAGAGAACTCCAGGGACCCCATCAGTCAAGGCACTACTTAAAATTCCTCCTCTGATAGCCCAGGTTTTCTGAGCACCTGTGGGGTCAGTGTTGGGCCAGGCTGAGGAGGAAATGAAACTAGGAGAGACCCTGTTGCATGGCTGTACAAAGGTGCCAGCAGGGGGGTCGGTGGGAGCTGAATTATATGTTTTTTGCTGTTGTTGTTGGGGTTTTTTGTTTGTTTGTTTTTGGTATTGGTTTTGTTTTTGAGATGGAGTCTCGCTCTGTTGCCCAGGCTGGAGTGCAGTGGCACGATGTTGGCTCACTGTAAGCTCCGCCTCCTGGGTTCAAGCGATTTGCCTGCCTCAGCCTCCCGAGTAGCTGGGATTACAGGCGGCCACCATCATGCCCAGCTAATTTTTGTATTTTTAGTAGAGATGGAGTTTCACCATGTTGGCCAGGCAGGGGTTGGGGGCTGTCCTGGGGGTGGCAACTCACCTTCCCTTGTTTGATTACATGGCTGACCACCTCCCGGGAACCGGTCTCCAGGCCCCTGTAGGCTAGAGGTTCAAAGCCCATCTTGCTGCAGTAGAATGACGCGGCCTGAATCACAGGGTTGCAGCAGGGTTCATGAGGGTCAAGGGGCCAGCCTGGGGGACTTCCGGAAGAGAGCCCCTGGCCCCCCTCAGCCTGCCGGCCCTATTGCCTCAGGTGCAGAGACCCTCCTGGGAAGAAAGACTGCTGCCTGCACATTTTGCTGACAGATAACTTTCGAGCTGGTGTAATTAGGATTCAGAGCATCTGGCCCACCCCTGGCCTGATCCTCCCTCCCAAGGGCCAATCACAGACCTGCTGGAGGCCTGCCCTTGTCAGGTGGCCCTCTGCCCTCCTCTCTGCTCACTCCAGTACCTTGCCCCGGCTTCTACCTGCTTGGCGTTGCCAACCCAGAAGGTCACAGAGTGGAAGTGGAGGAATCGGCCTCTCTCAGGCTGCAGAAGGAGAGAAGAGGTGAGGTTGAGTCCCTGAAAGTGAGTCTAGAAAAGCGCGGGTAGAGTAATGTCCCCTAGCCACCCCCCTTATCCCAGCCTCAACCACAGAACTCAGGAGCAGTGGAACCTCATGCAGCCTTGCCAAGCCTCAAAAGAGGTTTTTCATGTGGAAGTTGAGCTCCTGGGTGTCTTGGATGGGGAAGCCCCCTCAGGAGGCCTGCCACGGTTTCACACAGGGAAATAGCCTTACGTTGCAGCAATATGGATTTAAGTTAGACCTTAGAAAGAACTTCCAAATGGGATTAAGAGATTGGCAGTCATTTAAGAAGGGGTACAAGTTTTGTTTTTGTTTTTGAGATGAAGTTTTGCTCTGTTGCCCAGGCTGGACTAGAGTGCTGTGGTGCAATCTCGGCTCACTGCAACCTCCGCCTCCTGGGTTCAAGCGATCCTCAGGTTCAAGTGATCCCCCCACCTCAGTCTCCCGAGTAGCTGGGATTACAGGGTTGCGCTACCACGCTCGGCTATATTATTGTATTTTTAGTAGAGACAGGGGTTTCCTCATGTTGACCAGGCTGGTCTCGAACTCCTGACCTCAAGTATTCGCCTGCCTTGGCCTCCCAAAGCACTGGGATTACAGGCGTGAGCCACCATGCCTGGCCAGGATACAAGTTTGTTAGGAGGGTGAGGTTGAGTCCAGCTTAGTCTAGGGGAGCCCCAGGGGTAAAGCTGAGTGTGCAGTCATGCATGTCACATATCCACTCCAGTCCTTCCTCTTCTGCTGATAAAACCCCAGTCTCCCTGCACTCCAACCCCCTTCTAGACCCTGGCCCCTACATTTCCCACATTTCCCCTGCTTACCTTTGCCCCTTTGTCACTGTAAGTCGTCTAAGGAGAAAGAGAAGGACAGTGAGACTTGTAGGCTCCAACACAAGGTGCTTCTGGAAGTGTTACTGAAGATGTCCCACACAAGGGGAGATAGTCATGGCACTTACCATGATTGATCTTAGTCAAACTGCCTGCTGCGAAGACTGGGACTAGCGGCCTGGGGAGTGCTGGGCTGGAGTATTTAACCCCAAGCAGGTCCCGCCCAGGCCTCCTGGCATACCTGGGGGATGGGGTAGGGAGCTGAGCCCAGCCCTGGAAGGTTTCGGGCCTGGGGGCCTCTGATCCAGCCGCAGCCTCATTGAACAGGATGGTGTTGCCAGGCCCAGAAAGGGGGAGTGACGTCCACTAGTCAGTGGGAGGCAGAGTCAGGGCCAGAAGCCAAGGGCAAGCTTTTCCAGGACACTGGGACCGTGACCATTACCGCCCAGAATCCAAAGCTCAGAAGCCAAGGTCGGCTGGAGTGCAGTGGTGGCTCCAGAACTCTTGCCTAGAGGAAATTTGAGGGGGAATTTGGAGACTGGCCCCGAAGTCCTGTTTGCAAAGCAAGTATGTGGTTTCTATTCAGGATGAAAGTGCTGTATTCCATAGCTGTTAGAGGCACTGTAGGAGAAGGTTTGCATCCTGGCTCTGCTACATATGGTGTGACTTGGGAAAATCACCATATCCCTCCGAGCCTCATTTGTAAAACAGGAGCAAGAATAGTGTGGTGGGGATTAAAGGAGATAAGCATGCTCTTTGGAATAGGACCTGGCACACAGGACACTCTCTCTCAGTGTTGGTTATAATTCATCCGGACAGCTGAGAACATTCCTAGGCCATGTGGTTAGCAAACGGCAGGGAAGAACTGGACCGTGAACCAGGCTGTTCTAACGCCAGCACCCACATTTTAAATTGCTAGATTGCCCTCTATACAAATGGGAGATATTGATATCCCCATCAGATGGGGAAACTGAGGCCTGGAGAGGTGAACACATGTCTCCTAGGTCATGGAACTGGTAAGAGCAGAGCCCCAAACTCTGGCCTATTTGATTCTGAAGTTGGATCTCATTGCACCAGTGCAGAGCACTTCTCCCTCCTTTTCTCTATTTTCTGGGCCGTTCAGAAGGCAGGTGAGGTGTTCCCATCTCCTTATTCTGCCTGTCCTGGGCCTGCCCAGTGGGCCCCCAGTGTCCACCTCAGCTCCTTGAGTCTAAATTTCCAATTGGGGCCAGGCACAGTGGCTCACGCCTGTAATCACAGCACTTTGGGAGGCCAAGGCGGGAGGATCACTTGAGGCCAGGAGTTTGAGACTAGCCTGGCAACATGGTAAAACCTCATCTCTACTAAAAATACAAAAATTAGCTGGACGTGGTGGTGCACATCTGTAGTCCCAGCTACTCAGGGGGCTGAGGCAGGAGGATCACTTGAACCCAGGAGGCAGAGATTGCAGTGAGCGGGGATCACCCCACTGCCCTCCAGCCTGGGTGACAGAGGGAGACTCCATCTCGAATAGTAGTAATAATAAATAAATACATTTCCAACTGGAAAAACTTGAGTGGAGGTGGCCCAGGGTGGAGCTCACAGGCCCAGAAGGTTCCCATGGAGGAGAAGAGCTCTGTGTAGCCCGCCTACCCCCTCCAGGCCAGCAGGAACATCTTGTCCCTTTGATTGCTGTGGCCAGCTCAAACCCCCACTCCTGGACCCTGCCCTGGCTTATATCCTAAGCACAAAGGCCAATGTTTACTGACTCAAGGAAATGTGTCATCAACAGTAGTGGGGTGCAAAGGCTGGCAGGCATCTGGCTCAGCGGGGCAGAGGTAGGAACTCCGTCCCCAACACTGTGGGTCTCAGTCCCATGCTGGGTGCACCCCTAGATGCCATTCCCATGTGTGGGCAGAGAGCAAGGAGGGGAGCCTGCAGAGCCTGGTATCTGGAATCCCCTCCCCGATGCTCCCTGTTCGAGCTGGGCTCGGTGACAAGGTGTGACTGTCTCTGTTCTTTATGCCCAACCATGCAGAGGTGGATTCCAGAGGCCTTGCTCAAGAAGCTCACTGATCAGATGGGTTCATAGGACCCGTCCCTGACAATATCCTAGTGTGCAGAAAAGCATTCACCGAGCCGGGCCTGGTGGTGAGCACCTGTAGCCCCCAGCCACTCAGGAGGCTGAGGTGGGAGGATCACTTGAGTCCAGGAGTTCAAGGCTGCAGTGAGCTATGATCATGCCACTGCACTCCAGCCTGGGGAACAGGGTGAGAACTTGTATCAAAAATAAATAAGGCAGGGCCCAGTGGCTCACACCTGTAATCCCAGCACTTTGGGAGGCCAAGGCGGTAGGATCACTTGAGATTAGGTGTCCAAGACCAGCCCGGCCAATATGGCGAAACCCCGTCTCTACTAAAGATACAAAAATTAGGCTGGGTGCAGTGGTTCACGCCTGTAATCCTAGCACTTTAGGAGGCTGAGGCGGGCAGATCACCTGAGGTCAGGAGTTCGAGACCAGCCTGACCATTATGGTGAAACACCGTCTCTACTAAAAATACAAAAATGAGCTGGGCATGGTGGCAGGCACCTGTAGTCCCAGCTACTTGGGAGGCTGAGGCAGGAGAATTGCTTGAACTCGGGAGATGGAGGTTGCAATGCAAGATTGTGCCACTGCACTCCAGGCTGGGCAACAGAGTGAGACCCCATCGCTAAATAAATAAATAAATAAATAAATAAGTAAAATGGAACAAGTCTCAGTAACTGATGGTTCTTACTATAGTGTTTGCTAATATTAGAACTTCTGGGGAAAAAAAAAACATGAAAAAGAGGCAATCTCTAAATGGAGACACACTTTCAGGGTTTTAAAAAGCAGTTTTTAGTTGCTAATGAGCACTTGTGAAACCACACAGCTGACCCTTAGAGTCATGATTTTCTAGCTGATGGGGATCTTTTTACGGAAGTCCACCTGGGCTCTGAAACTGACAGACTTAAAGGGCTTAGGAAAGCCGCGCTTCGCTCTTAGCCTCGACACACACAGCCTCTTGGCTTCTTAGCTACCGCAGAAGAAAATCCTGAATTCACAAATTCTAGTTGCCCAAACCTGACCCCAAACTGAAAGCTCTGCAATGGGACAGTTGCTTGAGTCCAAGAGGTCGAGGCTGCAGTGAGTTATGATGGCACCACTGCACTCCAGCTTGGGTGACAGAGCAAGACTCGTCTCAAAAAAAAAAAAAGAAATGCAGAGCTGAAGAGCAGTCCAATGTAAATGGTCCCATCAGAGAGGAACTCTCTCATCATGGACATCTGCAAGTGACCAGACTGTCCAGCAGCATCCACGATGTTTGCACAGCGTATGTATGGCCCCAGGAGGGATGTCTCTAATCTGTCAGGGTCCTAGAGTTAAAGTCCTGTCTTACCCAGTTTTTTAGCTCATGCTGAGACTGAAACAGCTCACACCAGACAGTATCAGGTTTCAGCCTTTTTTTTTTTTTCTTCTTTCTTTTGTACAACACGGTCAGTTGG